TTTTACAGTATATTTCCAACTTAATTCAGCGGCTCAGGACAGCACAAACACGTTTCACTAAAGGAAAGGGTAATGTCAAGTGTACTCATAAATTGTGTGTGTGTGTCTTTTAGCATGTTATCTGTACACAGGGCTGTTGTAGTGTAACTAACAGAAGCTAATGTGTACATAAGCACAGCCTTTGTTATAAACATCGCGTCCCTAAACCCTGCCCCATGAGTAAATTATTCTTATATTGGTACTGCACCCAGATGCCTAACTACCTAGTAGGCACAGCGCCAAGTGTCTGTGTTTACACAATTTTTACACAAAGCAGAACTGATGCAAAATTCTTCTGTTTTTGCATTCATCTGTCTCATTCAGTTTGAATGTCTTGTTGTCTTTTAACTTTCCTGTGAGTGTGCGCTGTTACTGTAACGATGACTTCCACGGGAGGATGTTGTACTCCCAGACTGTAAGAAAAACAGACCTGCCCTGACAGGGAGGTCAGAGAAGTTCAGCCATATGGAAACAACATACATATTTCATGGAGATTGTGGAGGAATGTTATCGTTGCATGTGTATCAGCCTGGAATGCTTTTAATTCAAATATCCAACAGAAACACACTCTGCATTCAATGCTGTCAGAACATAAAACAACACTTGATTGGGGAATATTACTAAACCTATGAGAAAGCATATAGGATTTCACACAAAAAAGGCAAATGCATTCATAGTAAATATCTGGTATATCTCTGTAAAACCATATGTTTAAACGGTTAAACATTTAACTGTTATGAAGTAAAATAACAGGCACCACCCAGTCCTAGATCTTTACACACCAGCAGATCATACAGAATCTTCACACTCCCTCCCTAACTCATTCCAACTCCTCTTATCAGGCCACTGTTATAAAAACTGTATTTTAAAAATCATCCATACCAACTGACATTAACATGATAAACAAGCTTCAAAGGAGCAGTTTTAACTCTGTGTAAAAGTACATATTATTTCTCCTAATACTATGTCTATTTTTGTTACATGTACAGTTTTTATTCTCTGCGCCTGTGAGAGGCCACAGACAAATCATCACGTTCCATTAGTTTTACCTGATTCTGGTTTAACAGGGAGATAAACTCCACAGCTGAGCCAATAAACAAAGAAAAAAAAATTCACTTTGCAGAACAGGATAACTACAAACTGGACTGTGTGTGTGTGTTTTTTTTTTTTTAAAGATTTCCAGGCTCCAGCACAGAATTATGACCAACACGTGGCACACCATGCATAATAAGGACTCTATGTAATCTTCTGTAGGTTGTCCAGCTTTTATGATGTAGCACTACATATCCTCACACATTCTGTTGCACTGGAGAATTACTGGGAGACACACCCTAACTTTCCAGATGTGAAACAGCTCTTTTACATCTTTTGAATGTTAACATTCATGGCCATATTACACGACCACTGAACATATTGCCTCACTGTAATCAGAAAATTAAATTAAACACAATTACTGTCCAATAACCCAAATTAAACAGGCCTATTTAAATAATTACTGTCCAATAACCCAAGCTTGTCGTTTGTGGTTAGACTGAGTATGTATATATATCCTATTACTTCTGTCGTTGTTTCCTCACACAATGGCAATTCAAAGAAGCAACATCCTATTGAACCTACGCTGTTACTGTTTGCATTTTCCTGTTATGGGTAACATAAGCTTGATGTTTACAGATAGCATTTTTGTGGACCACCATAGCCAATACAAGGCACGTTGCAGGGGGGACAGTGTGAGACAATGGATACGTTTCCTGTAGCCTATTTATAAAATCAGGACAGCAAATGAAAAGGGCTCTTGATTTTGCTCCTCAACAGGGTGCTTGGAAGTGACAGTATATTTGCTCTGTGTTTGCATTTGCCCCTGTTTTTCAGCTATATTCTGTGAAGTCTCAAAGCTACTGAGGCTATTAGACAAAACACCTTCTGTGCTGACACAGTGAAGTTGTAGACTAATAATGGAGAGTGAGAGAGGCATGTGACCTTCAGACAACTATACAAAGCAAACATACTGTTAAGTCACAGCTGGGGCTGTGACTGGCATCGGTTGGCCCTCCTGCTCCACCTTCCTCCGCGGACCACCTGGACAGAGGGCCAACTGAGTACCAGTGTAAGGTGAGGAGGAAACACTGGTTGGAACAGGAGTGGACTCGGGGACAGGAGACAGAAAAAAACATGCTCAGCCGCATGGAGGGAGAAAGAGTCTGTGGAGGTGAGGGCTTGAGTGCCACTTCAGGGGAGAAAGAAAAAGGAGAAAACGTATGATATGTTAACAGCTGGTAAATGCCCATGGCTTCTGCTGAGCTGAGGCAAGTCTCTGAAAATAGTGACCGGGGCTGATTCAAGCTAGGAGAACCAGGAGAGAAGCAGGATGTGGACGGACAGGTGCAAAGAAAACAAAAGGCAACCACGCACAGGAACTATCAGCCTGGAAATCAAATAACGAAACGGTGAAAACACAAAAGACCAACGTGATAAAAGAAATCCACAGCACAGTCACTGTCAGCATGGAAATCTAAAACACGTCTATATTAGGCATAAACAAAGTAAATGCTCCAGCAATGGCGGAGCATCTGCCAGAGGTATAAATAAGGAGGGAGTCAATCAGCGGGATGCCGCAGCTGTGTGCACCAACAAACAAATCGTTAATTACAAATGCAACACAGCTGAGGTGCGAATCCCACAGGTCGAGAGACCAGAGGAGAGAAAGGCGGAAGAGAGGCAGGTCATGCCAAGTGGACCTGACACATACAGACTTCAAGGTGCCACTGATTGTTCCTTTCAAACCCCTCAGTGGCTAAACAAACCCATACTGGCAGCTCTCAGGTTTGATAGTGTATCAATGTGGGTGGGACAGGACTGTGAGCGTCCACTCAGTAAATATTTTTTGCCCAATCAGTAGAGGCCACATCAAACATTGCCTCTGGGTAGGGTTTACCCTCACTGCTACAGTTGTTTCTATTTTTCAGTTCAATTCATGTGTTATATTCCAAGTAGTGAATTACAGTCATGTTTCCAACAAGTACAGATTCTGATAATATTGGGTGATATTATAGCTTTACATCTATTCAATTGTATCTTAATACAATTTTCACATGTGTACATGCACACTGAAACAACTTTGGTCACAGTAATTATCTACAATTTTATAATAACAGTGTAAGGTGATGCCTGTTATGGGGGAGGGATCATAGTCACAGTCTGGTGGTCTGATGTAATAGCTGCCTTGCAACTGAAATATATTTGTTATTGTTTAGTCCCCCTCACCAGGAGGGTGAGGGAGAACTGGGGTTGGACTCAAGATGGCTGACCCAGGTGCTAGTACAAAAAAGGAGGTTTAATGGAATAAAAACAACATAACAGGGTCCATAATACATACAAGGGAAGGGCAGTGATGACTAAGGAGACCAGGACGAACAGATAAACAGGATGAGAACGGACAGGTGAACAAAAACAACAAAAAACCAACGTACACAATAATCCACAGCACAGAGACTGTCAGCGTAGAGAAGAAGAAAAAAAAAAAAAAAAAAAAAAAAAAAAAAATGCAGCTCAAACACAACCTTTGCACAACTTACTTAAGTATAGTACATTACACATCGCAATGCTCCAGCCACAACGGAGCGTCTGCCAGAAGTATAAATAAGGAAGCCAACAAATCACCGGAATACGCCTCAGGTGTGCGCACCGACCCATGAGTCACTAATTACCCGATGCGACACAGCTGAGGCGTTGATCCCGCAAAAAGGGAGAGCAGGAGAGGGAAAAAGAAAGAGAGGCAGGTCGCACCGAGCGGACCTGACAGTATTACTCATGTTCAGACCGTTATTTAAGGACATGACCGAGCGGACCTGACAGTATTACTCATGTTCAGACCGTTATTTAAGGACATGACCGAGCGGACCTGACAGTATTACTCATGTTCAGACCGTTATTTAAGGACATGACCGAGCGGACCTGACAGTATTACTCATGTTCAGACCGTTATTTAAGGACATGACTTCTGTCCCCATTTCATTACTTGGCCTGAGAAACTTAAGTTTGACAAGTTCAGGCTGCATCACATTAAGTCACTGGTTAGATCATTTTTGTTAAGCTACGTGGCTGCTGTCACATTGTGCACAAAAAAAGCAGTTTTAAAGGCTAGTGTTGTTCTGCATCCTCCAAATGGAACTTTGAACTTCCCCTCTTAGGATGATGTTTAGAGAATTAAAGGTCATGTGTAACAGTGTGAAAAGTTCTTTTATCTCTCAGGCCGTTAAACTGTTAAATATCTGTCATGTGTCCGGTGTTAAATACTGCAGCTGGTTGAGGAGCCGATTGTAACTACTTTATAAACTGATGATTAGTCAGATTTATAAAGACATCTCATATTGCCTGTTTGTTTTGTATGTCAATTCTTAATCTGCAATGTAGTAAATAAGCAATAAGTAAAGTCATTGTTTTTAAAATAGAAAAGTACATGAACGAATGAATACGCTGCTTGAGTAAAAGTACCTAGTAACTTTCCACCACTGGAGTCATGGTACAGCGGAGAAAGCACCTGTTACGCGCAGCTTCAGCTGGGTCACTGCCAGCGACTTCTCCGGTTTCCTCCTGCACCACGTGACATCTGCTCTGCAGACTGGTGGTGTGATGGTTTCAGGTTTTGAAATGAAGCTGCAGCTACGGAAATGTGTGCGTACGTTGTCAAACGGGACACCACAGTGATTACCAGTCATTACATACACCCACGCTTCTCGTAGTAAAACAGCTACACACACTGACATGACAGGGGGTAGAGCTGGCCGGAAGAGGGGCAGTTCGATTCAGTCCACATGTCAAACTGAGGCCCACTGAACCCCATGTTGCTCCGTGTGCCTTCACCGGGGTGGGATAGACACTAGTACTTCTTGTAGCAGTGTGATGACAGCGCTTCACTACAGTGCTGTGGCAGACCGCTGAGGCGGAGGCACGTCTCCAGTGCGCACAGCAGCCAATCAGCGCCGCTGTCCTTCTACGGGGGGAGGGAGAGTCTTTACACCCGGCTACAAGTACTCCGGGCCTGGGGGACTTGTACTGGAGTTTCAGCCTGTAGTTCGCAACCCCAGGCTTCTGCTGTCAAATTTAACCGCATCACAAGTAATGTGAATTCCCCACAGCTCTTTGTAACTTGAAGACTCGGGAGGACAAACTCCCACTGTTGCATGTTGGTCGTCGGATTGAGTAGTCAACCCTTCAAAGTTTTATTTCAACTTTCAACTAGAGCTCAAGGTCGGAAGCCTATTTCACAGCTTGTGCATGTAAAATTCTTTCTAGGAGGCCTGACTTTAGCTTTGCGCACGGAGATCTACATCCCTGCTCCACGAGTCTCTGCTAGCCCCTGCAAACATGGCACGAAGATCGTGCGCGGTGTATGTCGTCGGGATCATCTGTGCCAGCCTGTTGATCACTGGAATTGGTTTAACTGTGTCTCGAATTTTCGGCGGTATAATGTACAACCGCCTGACAAAGGTAAAAACACACGCTCTGCTTCACAGCTCCATAAAGCACCTGCTTGTTGGATGACGAGTTTGACGCGCCCCCCCTTTGCCTGCTGTAATGGAGTTTGTTAAGAATAGTGATGTTGGTTATGGTCAAAACATCTCTCTTTATGTTGAACTAAAGGTCCAGTTAGTTTTGCAGGGTTTTTGATGCACGTGTTGGTTTAAAAATATCAGTGTGACATGTTTCAGTCATTTTGCAATTGGCAAAGAAAATATATGGTGTCTGCATTTTAACCTGCAGTTCACACCGTTTCACTTTAAGGAAACTGTTGCTCACTTGTTGAATGTAGAATCAATTTGAGTTTCCAGGATAAATTCTGTGAAGTCCTTTGTGCAACATTGGTATTTCTCAGATGTAACAGAATAATTCACAGTCAAATGGATTGATTCTGGTCTTGGTGAATCTAATTGACTCTGGAGATCAGGGCCATTATCCAGCTCTGGTTATGGCATCTGCGCAAATCAACAGTGAAACAGCTCAAGCTTTCTGACCCAGAGGACACTGAGTTATTATGTTCAGTGACATGTGCTTTGCTAACCACACTTTCTCTTCCCCATTGTATGATGACTCAGACAGCTCAGTTTCATTATCATGCACCACTTTGAGTGACTTTATTAGAAATGGTTTCTTTAGCAAAATGCAGGTCAGAAGGAATTCCTAATGCCCCAGCTTGTCATTAAGACACCAGGGGCATATTCCAACTCTAAGAACAAGCTAGGTCTGGACTTGTTCCATATGGCTTGTTCTTGGTATTGGCTAGTATTTTTAACATGCCAAAGATAAAGCTACTATGAACTCACTGAGGAGTTTTGTCTACATCACTGTAATATCAGTTAGCAAAGATGCACTTTGAATGCAATCAGGCTGGTTCTGCATTACTTGCTTATACTAGCAAATGGAAGGGACAAGTGAAAAATATCTATTAGAACTTCTCTGAGCCCAATGTAACATCTGTAAATGCCTTGTGTTTGTTCTTGTTTTTTAACCAACACTTAATAAGCCTGAGATATTGAGTTAACTGGGAAAAACAGTTCAACACACTGTAACCTTGACAAAACATACAAACACATGTACCATAGACCAAAAATCACACTGACCACTTTGATATCTTGCTGCAAATACAGACACACTGCAAGTCACATGCCTCAAGAAAGTCACAGCGCAGCGGGTGTTCAGTTATAGTTTAATTGTTTACAGATGCTGAGGTTTGTATAAAAGATGAATAAAAACAGTTACTGGTAATCACATTGTTTGGCCTGTGGGAGGAAGGGATATGTGGATGTGACTTCATCACTGATGTTTGAAGCTGATGGGGGAATTGCTATTTATACTTCTACAAGCATTCTCAAGCACTCTGCTCTCATTCAGCTCAACTATTTCAATCTGCACTTGAAAGTTTGGAGCAGTTTGATCCTCAGTCCCAGAGGTGGAGAAGTCAGTGGACCACACTTACCAACGTTCTGTTTGATTGCCTCAGTGAAATCATTTGCTCTGCATCAGTAAACATGCTGTGGACCCTTCACTTAATTTTTGTTGTTGTTCATTTTCAGTAATGTACTCCATATTTTTAATCATTAGAGGTTTTGCTCCAGAGCTTTCTTGGATTTCCAATATTTCGACCTGTTTAGACCTGCAAAGTTCAGCGCGTTCCCAGAAGGTTCATTTTACTTTGATAACAGTGCAGACATGAAAACACCATTGGCCCACATTCAGTATTATCCTAAGACACACCTTTGTCCTTATTTTATATCAAACCCACTTCTCCATAAGAGGTGTCAGTGGCTGAGTATTAACTTTAGAGGTCAGGGGACATATCCACAGGACAACTTGCAGAGGTTCCTAAGGCAAATGGCTGCAAGGGAGAAAAGACAGAAGCTCTCAAATACTGAGAGGAAGTTACTCAATGGCTACCGATAAGATTGGGAAGGGATGATGTTGGAGTTCATTTTGACCCCATTTCTAATCAGTCGATGAAGTCATGTCACCACACCACTGCAATACCTTTGTGGCCTTAAATAATTTCATTTCCTCCAGCTGGAATACCAACAAAACAGAATAAACTAAGTGCGCTTACCTGTAACTGGGAAACTAAATAAAAAAAAACTGTCTGGCTGGCTTGCCAGTTAAAGATAGGCTGGTGGGGCTCTACAGAAGTTTAAACCAAGTTAATAGCTCTTGGCTTTTGAGGTAAGTTTATTACTGCAGACCCGCTGCAGTCTGTTACCTCTCAAGGGTAAAACAAGAGCATGCAGGGGTGTGACCCAGACATTAAATTACTGAGGTAAAAATACATGGGGGGGAGGGTTGAATGGTGAGTGTGAGTGGGTTACTGGTTTTCATGGGGGAGGGTAAATTATAATTGCGAACAAATTTTCAGAGAAAAAAGTCTTTTTGCCGTTATTAACAATACATTAATTCACCTTGGTTGTTTTGCTATTAACCTTGAGGATTCTTTTGGTCCTTTATGGATGGATAATAAACTGGGTGGTGGGTTTGGTGTGAAAGTGTAGGGGGGTATAAATGGTTTATTGCACTGTCTTGTTGTATGAACATTTCTTTGTTTTACATCTGCTTTGTGTGTGCTTGTAGATGCTCTGCTATGCAACGCAGCTATGCGGGTGTGGCCCATATCCACAGCGCTCAGATGCAGACACACCGTTATCTGTTAGCCTGACAGTGTGATTTGTTTCTGCCGTATCAAGTTACCCCCCTAGCCACAGTGTGAAGGATCTCATTCCGTGGATACCCTCCCAGCAGAAGAGTCCCTTTTTGTGCTGGGCCTCTTTCACACTGCTTGGTTTATTGGGAAACCGACTAGGTTGGCAAACCTTCAGCTTCCAAGTCAGTCAGACAGGGTCAGTATGCAGTGTACTGCTGATGAGGTGATGGCGTAAAATGTCTTGTCTCGGAATTTGGTAATTTTGCATAGACGTGTGTAGACATAGTGGCTACTGGCCCCTTGCTCATAATCTGCCAGCTTCCTTTCAGATAATTAGCTTGATGCTAATATTTTGAACCATACACTTGCTATTGTGCTTTTAGACCAAAAAAATGATGACAGGAACTCCTCCTTTATGACAGGAAGTGTTATATATTCCTAAAGATTTACCAGTAGAGGAAATGAAAACGGAGTTCATCCTGACAGTGCCACTCGAGCAAAAGCAAAATCATGTTATCCTTTTTTCAATAAGAGAAACAAGATTCCAGTGGCATTGTGGTGTGGTGGTTAGCCCTGTCACCTCATAGCAAAAAGGTTCCGGTTTCGAGTGCCCGCCAACCTGGGGCCTTTCTGTGCGGAGTTTGCATGTACTGAGTGGGTTTTCTCCGGGTGCTCCTGCTTCCTCCTACAGTCCAAAGACATGGTGTTTAGGTTGATTGCTTGTCTACATGTCAGCCCTGTGACAGACTGGTGGTCTGTCCAGGGTGTACCCCGCCTCTCGCCCAATGTCAGCTGGGATTGGCTCCAGCATGTACAGTCTGAGACTCACCAAAGTGAATACAGTTTGTCCTGATGGGAACATGAATGTGTACACCAAATTTCCTGTCCAATAGTTGTTAGGGCAACTCACTCAAAGCCAGCAAAATTCACCTCATGGTGACGCTAGGGGACACAAACAAACAAACAAACAAACACCACTTCCTGCCTATACAAAATTTGAGGCTATACACAAGTAGATGTTGAAATACTATCATAGAACTCCGAGGATCACCAAAAGCCTTTTATAGTTCATCCTCATGAGGCCATGAATGTATTTACCAAATTTAATTCATGCTGTAATATCTTCACAATAATCAAACTTCCTTTGTTTGTGTGTGTTAATGCAAACGACAACCAGTGTCATAGTTGGTCAGTTCAGTGAAACAGACCATAATATGACTCTGACAGCATCAGTAACAACAGGCTGGACTATACAGTTCAGCTGGTAGTGCTGTGTTAGGCATTTGGACACTACTGAGTCCAACCCATTTAGAGTACACAAAGCTTGTGCACCATGACTGAAGGATTTAATGACTAACCTCTTGCTGTTCCCACATGTCTATATATTTGCCTGTCTCAACATCAAAGCAGCAGAAGTAGTATGTGTATTTGTGTATTCACCTGCTGCACGTGTTTTCATATAAGGCGTGGTGTCGGAGTAGCAGCAGTTAAGTACAGAGATGAGAGGGTTCCTCTGTTCCTGTTTTTTTGTGTAGTACTGTATTTCATGTTGCAAGCTTTTGGTGGGGGGGTTAGTATACTGATTGTTCAAAGCATGAAAGGACAACAGAGAAAGGCATGCTCTCCCTTGCTCTATCTAAGATGACAGCTTTATTGTCCTTGGCTACTCGGTTAAACTTTGTGTCTGAACAAGAAGGAGGGAGTCCAAAGGGGGAAGGGCCCTGTACACCCCTTAAATAACAAGTTGTGTTCAGCTTTTTTTTTTTTTTTAGGAGGGCTTATTTCATACTGAAGTATTGCTTTTAACTGTAACTCAAGTTTGACACAATTAGGCCAAACTGAGGCTTCCTCTTGATGTGTCTTCAAAAGAAATACTGATCCATTCTCGCTGTGTTTGCCAACGACGCAAAAGATTCCTGCAGTGAATCAGGGCGTAGTTGTCCAGAGGCAATGTTATTTGCTGTGAGAATTTTCTAGCATACTGTGTAATAAAACAGGAGAGTCCAGGTTTGTGCACTATCAGGGCCTCATAAGGCTCAGTCCTGAGGAATGTGGCTCAGATCATTAAGGCCGCTGTCCTACGCAACCAGTGGCCATCCAGCTCTCTGCATCACATGATCTGTCTCTGGCTTTCCGTCAGCGTAGCCCGTTGTCAGTGGCAACTGCTAACAATGGCCCCATGGAAGGGTCTCCCCTAAATCCATTAATGTGTGCAGCCAATGCTCCCCCCCCCCACCCCCCGCCGTCCTAAGATGTTTTTGTTCTCTGGGTTGTTTTTACTAGGAACAGACTGTAGAAATTCAAAACATGTGCTCCCGATGGCCAGACATTTTCAGCAGTTGGCACTCTTTGCAGCAAATGTTTCCATCAGTTAAAAGCCACCTCAAAAGAAAAACACTTCAACTTATAATAGGGTGTCTGCAGAACTCTTTTTTAAGTGTGTAATCTACTCTGGCATTTATCCATTCATTTCTGCTGCTTATCAAGTTCTAGGTTACGTTTTTAATAATTGATTAATGAAATTATTAGAAATTATTGTTGGATACTGCTGGGAGGTCATGACAAAAGTGTGACATAAAGGTCAATAGAATCATGCACTTGGTAAATACTTCTAGGCCTTATCATTGCTGCTTGTTTTCATTGAACCTTTTGTACTTTGGCCATTTGACAGTGAACTATAGGCAACAGTTTGCATTCTAAATTTGACTTGTTGTACCCAGGAGAAACTATTAATTTCACAGCCATGTGAAATATATGTTTACAAATGAATTGTGCACAGATTTAAACTGAAATTTGCATTTTTTTTTTATGTCAACAGGAAATTGTGTTGGTAGAGGGCAGCCGTGTGTTTGAGTCATGGAAAAAGCCCCCCCCTCCTGTCTACATGGAGTTTTTCTTCTTCAATGTGACCAATGTGAAAGAGATCATCGGCGGGGCCAAGGCAGTGGTCAAACAGGTCGGACCATACACATACAGGTAGGACACAAGAGCACACAAAGAAAGACACACGTCTCTCATAGGAAACCACAAAACTTCAAAATATAAAACATATGGTCAAATGTCTGATGTTGATGCCTGTGCAGACGGTGACTCGCGCACACTGTTGGTCAGCCAATCATTTGTAGTCACTCTGTGTTTACTGTAAAAGCAACAAAATGCCTTGCTGTTTATCTTTACTGAGTTTGTTTCTTTGACTCCAAATTCTGACTGCATCAGCAGCACTGCACACCATAGTTTTGTACATGTGAACATAGTTGAGAACAGATTAGCAACATTAGCTTCTGCTTCTCTGCGTTTGCATAAAAAATGGACAGAACAGAAGTGTTAATATATCAGATCAAAACTGATATATGCAACAAGTTGTCTCATATCCTGTTTAGTTTTGAGAAGAAACTTGTTTGGTGTAGATTAGAAATGCTAAACCTTTAAATAAATATCAAGGATCACTGTGGGAACATCAAAATGTCAGCCACCGTAAATCAAGATAATCTGCATCTACCACTGAACCCATAATTTACACTCCTTACTCAGACAGGTGTGCTGAAAGGAAGGAGTTGTGGGGTGAAATTAAATAATAACCTATATTTATGTGCAAAGCTTTTTGAGTTTATATGTGGTCTGTAATGTTCATTTGTAACACAGGAACAATTCTAGAAAGAGCATCAACAATAAAAGCATATTTAAATACTTCTATCTTATTGTGTTTTTGTGCAGGGAATATAGATACAAGGACAATGTGAGTATGGTGGAAAATGGCACGTTGGTGTCTGCATACAATGTCAAAAGCTTTGTATTCCTGAGGGAGAAATCTGTGGGGGACCCAACTGTGGATAACATCACCACAGTCGACATCCCTGCTTGGGTGAGTCATAAAGGACTTAAACAAGTACAGGAAAATGGACATTCAAGTCAGGGAGAGTTGTGTGTGTTGCACCTGATTTCCTTCTCCATTTTGTTTTTTGCTTCCTCACCAAACGTTCTTTTCCATTTCTTCTCCACTCTGCTCTCCTTTCCACCTACAGGCTGCAATGAACAAGGTGAACGGGAGTTTCTGGAAGGCCTCTGGGTTGTCCATTATAATGAGGGCTGTCGGGTCCGAGCCCTTCACTACTCGCACTGTGCATGAATTGTTGTGGGGATATAAAGACCCCTTGCTGGCCCGCCTCGCTTCCACCAATCCGGATGTGGAGCCTGTCTTTGGCCTCATGTACAAGGCATGTGCAACTCTACAAGGAATAAAAGTTATGAAATGTTCTGTTAGATTTTAATGAATTCCTTCATGTCATTTGGTCACTCTGAAAATCAGGAAAGTGTTTTTTGAAACAAGCACATTTTAATGACTTGAAACTTTGTTTGATGTAGAAAAATGGAAGCAACGATGGGGAATTTATCTACCACACCGGGGAGCATAACTACATGGATTATGGCCGAGTCAAAACGTGGAAAGGTCAAAGGTAGCACAAGCGCACACTCCCTCTCTGTCTTCATCCACAGTGATGAAACTGTGGATTAAAACATTTCTCATATCTACTTCTTTTCACCAGTAATGGGGGGTACAGGCAGGCTATGTCTCCCTCTTTGTTTGCTTGTTAGTCTGGACTTTTGTCCTTAGAATAGAGTACAGGGCAGGATATCTTCATATTCCCCTTAGTAACGGCCTTTTTGTGAGCTCACTTGCAGTTTTCCTGCAGGCTCTAATTACCCTGTTTACTCGTGGGGAAACGCCTTAGGCACCTGTAACTTTCAGATAAAAACATTTGATCAAAACATTTCATTGTAATTTAATGTCCTTAAGATGGAGATAATAATGTGTTGCTATTTAAAGTGTAGTTTCTGAGAACTGTATATCTAATCAGTTTACCCTCTGTATGAATATTATACAGTTTTTTAAATTTCATAAATATAATCCTGGTGCAATTTTAAAAAGACAGTTCATGCTTTTGTTTGTGACAATGTGTTGTTTTGCAGTCAGCTGACCTTCTGGACGTCTAACCAAAGCAACAGCATCAATGGGACAGATGGAAGTGCTTTCCATCCCTTGCTGAACAAGAATGAACACATCTACGTCTTCACCTCAGACCTCTGCAGGTACAGTGCAGACCGTGCCTCGCTGCAGCCTTATACTCCCATGTGGCATCCCTGTGAAGACATTTTAATTAGTGTTTCTTACATATCCTAGTAGTAATATTTGTTTGTTTTTAATCGTGGCTTTATGGATAGTGTTAGTCTGTCCACCACTTTGGTCCAGACTGAAGTCTTACTATTACCTCACACCTTAATAAATAAAAACACATGCAATTTAATTGTTTAGTGCCAAAAAAAGAGCTACAAACCCTCAATTCAATTCATTTCAATTGTATTTGTATAGCACCAATTCCCAGCTCAGGTAGGTGACCATGTATGAACACACAATACCAACTTGACAATGTGATGTTGGTTTATTTTAGATACACAGGGTTTTTCATTTCCTGAAAAGTGGCGGTTTTGGAGATACGCGGTTTCTGCCCAACAGCGAAGATATGAGGGCACTATTTGTCTAACTCAAAGAGTAACTGCAGGGATTTGGATCCCTTCATTTATTTATATGTTATCTATATATGATATTTTGCCAAAGGATGCTGTGGTTCTGATCATTAAGTTAGGGTTTATGACCAGTTATGAAGTCATGTCTATTTGTGGTACATGAGCTGAACTGACAAGTTCTCAACTCAGCTCGATGCGGTTTGCCACAGAGTCGGGTGGAGGGTTTTCATATCTGGTATAGTGTGTTCATAGGCCTTGCATCCCATTGATTGTTATCATAACTTCCTGATCAGGCACAAAGAGCACTGCAGGTGACTTCTGTGTTCTCACCAAGGCTTTACTGTCTACCTGATGAGGGGTTTTTGAAAAACTAACATGCTAATTTCCAGGAAGCACTTTCTGGAGGCTTAGTTGCAGAAGAATGTTGGTCTGGAGTCTAACGGAAATGGAGGGCACGTGAATGAGAAAAGAAAATTATTGAAGAACAATTGATGAGTTGAGCTAAAGCGCATTTTCACAACAGTGGAAAAGAACAGTTGCAGAGGTTTCTGTTCTTGACCAGCTGGAACAAACAAGTTTAGTAATGTTTTCCATGTAATTCCATTATAGGCGTCCCGCCAGTTTTTATAGTTACTTCTGCCAGACATTTTCATTACTAATGCTCAGGAGAACATTCAGATTTCTAGAGGCTCCTCTGGAGGATTTCAGAGTCAGGATGTCTTCACTGAAAACATGATGAATGTTAAAAGTAAATGCCTCTCACACAGTGACTGATGAATAGTTAATTTTGCAAGCTGTTGCAAAATCATAGCCATGGCTTCACTGGTGAAACGGTGTCAATGGAGAACTTCCAAATTTGAAAACAACCGTGACCTAAACCAAAAAAAACCCCACAATCCTCTGCAGATATCTTCCGCTTTTTGTTTAGCATGGAAAGAATCTAAAGGAGTCGCATGGTTGTAACTTTGATCCTGATTGGACATGGGTCAAAAACCCCTCTCCCACATGTTGACAACACTTTCACCCACTTATTCATTATCTGATTGACTATGGCTCTCTGTGTTATTGTGACTAAAGGGAAGGCTCCCTTCCTGTTTCCTGTACTTTTTACCATAATCTCAAAAGGAAATATCCCATTAAATCACATGTATGTTAGCCTTTCGCACAGACAGTTGGGCTCAGGGTATTTCCAGCCTTAAGCCCCTGTAAAAGTGTCAAAAAAAAACTTGACAGAGTCCTGACACTTGATCCAGTAACAACAGCTGAGCCACAAAACATGTGTGTCAGTGTGCAAACACCAACTTGCTTTTGCCACGTTTCTCTCTCCATTAGGTATGATCATTAGTTGAAAAGATCCTTTCTGATTAGACTTTCGTCTGCCATAAAGAACCAGCACTTAAAATAAGCATGTCACAACATGTCCAGGTGTAAACAGCATGTAACACAAATGAGATTCTACACATTAAACTGAAGCCTCAAAGTATGATGACAACACAGCCTCTACTACATTACACACACGACAGAAGTTGTAACATGCATTTGATAACTGTAGCTTTAATAAAACATTTTTACTCTCAGAAGTATCTCATGTCATCTGGTAAGCTGTTCCAAGTTTGTATCCTCTAAAGGGAAACGATTTAGATCCAAATCAACAATATCTTGTCTTAGTTTGCCTAAAATTAAGTCTCTCATGCTCAGCAGAACAAGCAGAGGCTTTCAGTCCACTTGTAGTGAAGAAAGACATGAAGCCTTTTAAATGGCTTCTCTCACGAAGGTCAAGGGAAAGGTCTGTACAGTATTGTTGCACAGTTGGTGGGCTGCGTAGTGAAGGGCCGCATCGCCCCGACCAGCTGGCAGGCAATGTGTAGACTCCTTTGTTCTCACTGAGAAGCATCGGGATTCCCTCTACAGGACAGAACCGAGGTTACAGAACAAGGATGAATTGCTCACTATATGATAATCTTCAAAACATATGAAGACACTGTGCTGGTGCATTCATGTACATCAAGTCTCTGTAATCTAGAGCTGGTAAGAAGGTGGCAGCAGCCAACCAGCTCCTGGCTTTCACAGGCTAAAACTGTGCAGCAACCTCAGTCTCAGTTCTTGCTTTCTGCTTTCTCCAGGTCCATCCACATGGAGTTTGAGAAAGAAGTATATGTGAAAGGAATTCCAGCCTACCGCTTCACACCACCGCGCTCTGTTTTTGCAAGCAAAGAGGAGAACCCAGCCAATGAGGGTTTCTGCATCACCCCGAAGGAGTGCCTGGGAACTGGTCTTCTAAAAGTCAGCCCCTGTCGGAAAGGTATTCAGTACTGCTTTTCACACCTCATGGATTCAGCAATAAACTTTAAATTTTAACTTAAATTTACTTTGAAACCTCCTTTCTGCTCTCTACGCAGCACTCTTTAAATTTTTAAACCCTACCTAAGGATGCATAACACTATAATGCTTCTGTCAGTCTTATTTTATCCCCTGTGCCCAGTGTTGCTAATACCCCCTGAATGATCCATGTGACACAGCTCTACAGCTCCACACCTCAGGCACCATCTGACCATGACTCACACAGTGGCCGAGGGGGCAGTAAGCCCTGTCACCTGATTCTGGCCTTGAATATGACCAGGCGTTACCATAGTGCCTGTGTTTACTGCCCACTTATCACACCTGTTTCCCGAATACCCTTACTTGTGAAAGAGCAACACTGGTGTTTTATCATGTTGACACATGTATTATAAATATTTTGTCACATATGAGGGAGCTGTTACTTTCTCGTAACTTGCGTCAGAAATGAATTCCAACACATCGTGTCCTCGTTTTCATGCTTCAAAGTTACATTATTGTTGCAGTGGAATTCAGTCAAAAGCATGCAAACATGCAATAAGATGAACAGCAACAGAAAGTAGGTGGATTTAAAAGAATGTGCAGATGGTTACGTTTGGGGTCAGGGTCAGGTTTTAGGGAATGAACACAGTGATTAATGGTGCTTATAATTATAACAATACAAATGTGTGCGTGTTTGCACTAATGTTATCTTGAGGGTTGTCACAAGAACAGTCTCTCAGATGACTGCAGGTGTCCTGTGTTTTTGTTGAACGTCTGTTGCCAAACATGAGAGCAGGAAAACCGTCACCTCTGCCCTACTTCATCAGCATGTCTAGCTGTGCCACCATCTGACTGTGCTGTTGCTGTTGAGACGTGACTCTTTCAAAGCTGGACCGTTTTTGTTTTTTCCAAATTGCAGACATCAAGAATGACTTACTCCTGAAACGCACAGCTGGGACACAAATAGTCGATCGTACTGTTCTTTACTTTACCATAGTGTAGGAACGCAATGTCTCCTGTTGACAATATGAGGAAGGATCTCAGCAAGAGAAACACAATGATATAGCTAACAGATGCTGCCATTTATTAGTACTACAAGAGGTGCACTGCCAATAGCTCAATTAATGTAGCTATTGTTTATTTTCTTTGACTGACCTTGAATATCATGCTCCCATCCTGACGGAGGTCAGGTGATGTCTTGTCACCCTCTCCTGAGGACTGATGTTTGCTGATAAGAAGCTTTATTTATTGTCATTGTAACACGTACAACGAAATTATGTGTGGAGCAACTGCCCTACCCACCACACCACTGTTGCCTCAGTCGATAAGATCTTTAACTCATTTAATATGCAATGCAGTGGTGGAAGAAGCACTCAGATCTTTTGCTTAAGTAAAAGTAGCAATACAACAATGTAAAAATACTCTGTTGCAAGTAAAACATCAGAACATACTTAAAGTTCTAAAAGTAAAAGTCCTTATTATACAGAATGGCACATTTCACGTTCCTGTTTATCATATTATTATTATATTATAATTATGCAATTATGCATTATTGTGTACCTCACATTTAATGTTGCAGCTGGTAAAGGGGGAGCTGGTTTTAACGAGCTAATATACATTTAATTTAATTACTGCTGGGTAGCTTGTGACCTTTCCACCATAAATTAATGAGGTCTTATAATTATACGTTGTTGTTGTTTTTTTGTATTAATCTGGTTCTGGAAAGTATAGTAACTAAAGTTGTAAAATAAATGTAGTGGAGTAAAAAGTACAATATTTGCCTCTAAAATGTAGTGAAGTCAAAGTATGAAGTAATGGAAAATAAAAATACTCAAGTACAGATACCTCAAAATTGTACTTAAATACAGTACTTGGGTAGATGTACTTAGTTACTTTCCACCACTGATACACTGTAGAAGTCATCTTAATATTGTCTGTTTGTTACAGTATGTGACACATAAGCTGACATAAGGATACTCACTAATTAATGTGTGAATTAGCCAAATGAATGACCTTGTTGTGAAGACGGCAGCTCCAGGGCCTCTGCTTGTCTTGTGAAATCATAATTAGAGATGTCTCAGAGGAGGAAGCGCTGACGTTTACTCCACTTAATCAAGTAAAGAAAGGAGAACTACCTCTGCTGAAACTGATTTATTTAAATTAGAGCTATACAGTGCATGTTTGATTAATGCTTTGCTCATTTTGAACTTGCCACTTGACCTTCTGTCTCTTTCTCAAACTCTCCTCTTACAGGTGCCCCGGTGGTCGCTTCCTTCCCTCATTTCTACCTGGCGGAATCTAAATATGTGAATGCCATTGGAGGAATGTCCCCTGAGAGAACGCATCACCAGACGTTCCTAGACCTCAACCCGGTAAGCCACAGTTCATTCATTCATTTTCTACCTCTTAGTCCCTGAACGGGGTCACGGGCCCTGCAATGGATTGGCGACCTGTCCAGGGTGTACCCCGCCTTTGCCCGATTGCCGGCCGGGATTGGCTCCGGCCCCACCCACCCACCCGTGAAGCCACAGTTCATCAGCATGAAATGCACTTTTTGCTCTTCAGTTATGAGTTGCACCATTAAAGCTGCTGGTCAGTCTACTCATTTCACTCCACTATGAAAACATGTAGCAGTAAAGTCATGGCATTAATCTGTGTGAAATGTAAGCTTTACTGCTGCGCCACCTAGTGGCACTTAAGTGCCAGTACAGATCTTTTTCACTTGCATTAGCATCATCAGTGTCCTCACTGTACTGATTACATTTACTCTAATACTGCACTTAGGTACTTTGAGTATTCCCATTTAATGCCACTACGTCTGCTCCGATGTATTTCAGAGAGAAATACTGTACTTTTTACTCTAGTACACTTATCTGACAACTTTAGCTAGTGTACAAACAAATATTTTACATACAAAACCTTCTGTTTGGCATTTTAAAATATGATGCATTGTCATAAACGAACTACCAAACAGAATTGTGTTATAATTTGATGATAGTGAGGATAATCATTTCTTTTCACTTTGAGTTTGTAAGGTTGAATTTGAACTTGTCGAACTTGTTGAATTTGAGAGTATTTATTTCTTTTTTTTAAATCTTTTTTATTTCTTGTGACTTGGTACTTTTTTGGACTGTTAATTTGTGGAAACAATAAAGAATATGTCTTGTACTCTTTACATTTTTAATATTATTTAAAAAACCTTACCAGAACTAATGACAGCAACACAATTTTACACATTAATGTTTGTTCGTAATAACGATTCACTAATATGATCCCTAATATATCACTCACAGAGCGAAAACCTTTACTTTAATACTTGAAGTACTGTACATTTACCAGTCAGTACTTTTGCACAACCAGCATTTTGATTGCAGGACTTTCACTTGTAATGGAGTATTTTTATACTGTTGTATTTTTGTTTGAGTAAAGGATCTGAATACTTCATCTATCACTGGTCATAGATTTCATTTTGTTGTCTGCTCTGGTTATACAATGCTTTGCCTTACACGATCAACACTCTGCTGACAGACAACTGGAGTGATCGTACGTGCAAACAAGAGAGCGCAGATAAACATCTTGATGAGCAGAATTACTGGACTCCCGTGAGTATCTGCATCCAAACAGGAGCTAAACACTCTTATTCTGTAGTTGTACAGTATGTGATAGCTTCACACTCTTTTCATTGTGTTCCTAACAGGAAAACTAGACAATTGAATGAAACAGTCTTTCCTGTCATGTTCCTCAATGAGGTAAGAAACGTTAACGATGTGCTGAAACACACTCAAAACTGGGTTGAACACATTATCAGTTAGTGGATTGGCATTAAGTTTTCAATAAATAAAACCATTCATGTTTTTTCTTTTTTTTTTCCTGATGAAATAACTTCCAAAACGAATATGCGGCTTTCAAAACGAAATCCTTTTGTTTAATGCACATGAAAGCAGCTTTTAACAACACGAATCAGGACAAAGTGTTTTCTACAAGATAGTAAACCAGTCACTAGACATACTTTCCATTCCATAACGCATCTTTTGCATTGTCTTTTAATACTCAGAGTGTGGAGATTGATGATGCCTCTGCAGCCAGAGTACAGAAGCTGCTGCTGATTGTCAAACTAGGGTCCAACTTCCCGCTCATCATTGTGGGACTGGGTGTAATTATGCTCATAGTCTTCATCATCCTTCTGGTCCGGGCCCGCAAACAGAAGGTACAGCACTACTTCTTACATTTTTATTGTACTCTAACAGCTTACAATTTACTTGCTTTGTCCTAATTACTGTTCATTTTTGAGTATTTCATTCAGGTGCTTAATCACACACTAATGGCTCTGTGCACGTATTAATCACTGTATGTCTTTGTGCAGAATGAAGTTAAGCGCATTGTGTTTACCAAGCCTTCCTATACTGTAAGTTTCTATGGTTATTTTGGTAATTTGCTTTGATTTGCTGTGTTGTCTTGGCTTTATTCAACCTGTCTTACTATATTAAGTACTGGCCTTGTGTCTGGTTTAACCCATTAACACAATGTAATAATACTAAATCCTTAAGTATTGTAAAAACATGTTTCTGAGTGATTTTTGATGAACTACAAAAGGTAAAGGTTTTAATATTGTTTGTTATGCTTCATCTCCAACTCCAGACTCCCGCTGAAGATGACACTTCTTACTCTCCAGTCAGTGACAAGGAAAAAGATGATCCCCAAAATGGAACCTTTATTGGTTTGACACCTAAATCTGACCCACAAGCTTGAGGAGAATGGAGGGAATGGTTAGAATAAGGCTTTATACATTGATAACCATCATAATTACAAATCAGGATTCCCTGAGAGAAAAAGCCACTGTAGAAAATCGTCTCTTTTATAAGTTTTATAAGATGTTTTACTCTGGGGTTGGGGTGGGGTTGAGGGATACAGATGGGGAACATGTTTTTAGTCTCAACCATATTGTACTATATGTACTTAGTTTTACTCATGGAGAGTTGAAGTAGGTTGGTAAAACACTGTATCACCCCATAATTTTGACAGTCTTTGAAAACACTGCTGCAAACAGCTATTTCTCGCTGTTTCTGAGGTATATTTTTGACAACAGGCTGCACTTGTCATGGAGAGCTAAAGCTGTGGTGTTCAAATTAAACACACCCCTTAAGTAAGAGGTGTGGGATCATTAGATTTTAATGCTGTGGCCTCACTTCATTCCTCACCAGCTGCTTGTCTTGCTTTGAACTTTCAAATTTAATGGCTGATTACCATAAGATACCATAACAGTACATAAAAGGTGATTTGGGACCAGGGTTGTGAAATCCATAAACTCTGAGTTTAGATATTATACGACACTCTCGGGAGGGTCTCTGCTTAGATATGGTCACATATTATCAACGCGGGAGAGGAGAGCACAACATACAACAGGTCCTCACCGTTCTTGCCACAACACTCACTTTCTGAAATAATTTCAGTGGGTTCAGTATTGTTGTGTTTCATTTGCATTTCATCCTCAATGTTACAAAAATCTGTCATGGCTCACATATGGCATTTGTTTGTGTGTATATATACAGTATAAGATGTGCTGAACTGCTGACATTCCTCTCAGTTTATTACGGGCTCGAATATCAGACAATGTTGTATATTTTGGAGACTTTAACTTTTGTAAAATAAGACATTTTCTAATTTTTTGTAAATGTTAATGTAGAAATGTTTCAGTGCAGAACATTTTAAGTTAGAGCTTCAAAAATGTCTTCGAGTGCCACGATGAGCAAAACCTTTATCAGCCATAAAGCCTTGAATGTGACAGGATTCTGTGGTCAAAACAATGATTCATACAATACTGAATTTGTGTGTTGACAGTATTTTTTCCCTGTATAACTACATATGTTAAGTGATATTGCCATATCAAAATGTAGTTTAGCTTGTTGTGATTTTAAAATGTGCTTTCTTTCTGTCTTTGTTTTGTTGTTTGATGTTGTTGTTACTACAATTGTTGGCGCTGAATATGACAGCCAACAAACCCTTTTTCTTAAGGTGTAAAACACGTTTAATATTAAAAGCTGTAGTTTTGCTTTTTATAGTTTTCACATATTTTTGGAAATGAACACCGTGCCATATCAACAGATCTATCACGTGCATATTGTTTTCTTCAAACAAACACTGAGCATGAGCCTGTTTCAGTAGTTTCTATATGCAGGGGCCAACTGCACCTTGACAACACTGTTTGAATGATAGATTGTTGTACAGGGCTACAGCTTCCTTAGCCAAAGCTGGTGAAAATGTTAGATTTCTGGAGCCATTTAATGTAATAAAATGCTGCAGAATTACTTCAGTTGAACTATGATGGATTCAGCTTTTATTAGTGCTCTGATTTTTGTCATAACATTTTAATATGAATGAATGAGTTTCTTTCCACCACCTCTTCATTGCATGCACTGAAATAATCAGCAACAAATACAGTATTTCAGGCAATAGAAGCTGTAACGTGCTGAATTTAAGTGTCTTTTTGTTTCCTCAACTGATTTTACTATTTGTGTTTGATACACCTCAATTCAGACATGCACAATAAGACAACTGATTCAAAATTGTAAAGGTTCACAGAGTAGGCATAATGAAATAATGAAGCGTTATAAGGGTGGATGAATGGATAAATCAATCACTTCTTTTATGCAAAAAGCACAGTATTACACAATATTAGTGTAGTGGTTAAAGAGGATAAATTATTTTGTTACACTGATAAAACCAAAACACTAAGCAGCACCATACTGACCTTACTCTGGGATTCTTTGTACCATACTTTGATTACAGATTATACTCTGAAATTGTCAGTATAGCAACATATTCTTCTAATTGTCAGCTTGTTTTAAACTGTTGACTGCTAATACTGTTTTACTGTGTACTCAAAAATAAAAGTAGTTTCGAAAAATGGCTTTTTTCTTTGACTTGCTTGTATCCCGTTTTAGTAATTACCTTTATTTCCAAATTAGAGCAGAATGCTTATTTGTACTGTAGTATATTATACTGCTGAAATTATCCACTAATTGAAAGAAAGTTTACAATTTAATTTTAATATCTACTACTATTACTACTATTTTGAAGAAAAGAGGTCTGTTTTCACATTCATCAGTTGAAAATGGAAAGTTTTTCACCTTAAATCCTTAATGTGTGTACCTGTATATTACTCCTTTGGAAGCCGGTAGGCAAATTAACACAAGCTTGATGTGGAAACCTGAAGTTTGCATTGCACATACACTGAGTATGGTCTGCATATTTAGGGATATTTTAATATCAAGACATTTTGCAGACGACTGCACCAGAATTGCCTGTTGTGTTTTTTCTATTACAAAAAAAGTTCAATTATCCTGTTAAAATGTCTTAATATAAAAATATCCCTAAATATGCAGGCATTTCTGGAGGTTCCCTCCAGAACATGCCTAGAGGGAACCTGTAGCCAGTAGCCATCCCTGGTCCAGACTCCAGGTGGCGATAACGTGCCGCCTGCTGGATGAAATCTGACTTATCTCAAGAAGAAGTAGAAGGATAGCCGCTCTGGTGGCTGTCAACATGGCGTTCAGTTTCGGAGGCGCCACGAGTAACACAGCCGCAAGTATGGGCTGTTTTATGTAATATGGGAGCATTTTAAATGAGGAAATATGTTGTCAGAATAATGTTACAGTGGTGCATATACATCGGCAATAAATATAAGTGGTTAGCTGATAGCTCACACCAAGCTGCCGTTAGCTTAGTTCGCAGTCATGACAGGGAGGGGGGGGTCATCTTCATTTGAAATCCTGTACAGATTTCTCTATTTGAGGGATGTAGTTAACTGTTTAGCCAGATATGTGGTTACTCAATGTTAAAATAGGATTCAGTAGAACAATGTTCCGTTACCAGCTAGTTAGCCTTCATTACTGTAACATTGCGTTATGCGCACTGTTACGTTAGCCTTAGCTGTTTGGGCTAACTTAATGACTAGTTCTCATCAGTTCTTGTTCATCTGTGTGAGCTGATGTTTGTTTTTTACCAAAATGACAGAACACCGTAGCATCATAACACCCAGCACGCACATCGCTTTCTGTCTTTTTGTGTAGACACGCCGGGGTTTTCATTTGGTTCATTTGGTGCCAAGACCACAGCACCAACAACTTTTGGCTTTGGTCAGGCCGCCACCACCACCGCCTCATCTGGATTCGGCAGTAAGTCCAAAGCTCTGGTCCTTGCTGACAGGGGCTCATCCACTATCTGCAGTACACCAATGTATACTTCTTGTCATTTCCAAATGTACAGTACTGTGCAGCAGTAATAGGCACTTAAGATGTTTAAAGGTGTCTGAGTGGTCCAAGATTCATTATGCTGCATGACAAGGTTATGACAACAGTCTTGGAGAACTATCTTCACTGACAGGGAGAACAAAGCCCCCTGCTCCAGAGTCAGCGTGGGATCACATGAGGAGACATTGCTGAGTTTATGAGTTTATTCCTTGTTATTTGTCCCTTGCTCTTTGGGCTCCCCAGGGTGTGAAAAGAAACATGATTTAATCTTGACAGATGGCCGAGTACACTTGGCCAGTAACAATAGTTTGTTTTTAGGAAAGACCAGACAAATGAGCTCATGAATGTTTTATCTTGGAAAACATTACATAAATCTGGAGTTGCCACAGGTCTGTCAACAATATGAAGACAGGCAACTTCCTATATTGGATATTACTGTTTTTGTGCTCAGTTATACATATTGTGTTATTTTTCCTTGTTGCACAATATGTATTCCATTATAATTGTGGTCTGACTGTCTGCTTTGTTTTGTCTTTGTAGCTCTTACAGCTCCTGGGTTTGGGGCAGCCACCACCACTGCTGCTGCACCAGCCACAGGATTTAGTTTTGGCTCCACCAACACTGGTAAGGCTCACATGTTGTGTACACAGCATGGAGCGCTTGTGTCTGTATGCTTTAACATTACGACTGTTCTTATAATTAATCTGTACTAGGCCTGACTTCTGTTACTTAACTTGCCCGTGTCACTCTCTCTTTCTTGCTACCTGCCTACGTTGGCTGCAGGATTTGGGGGGCTGGGAGCTGGAAACACCACGGCTGGTGGGTTTAGTTTTGGGGGGTTTGGTTTAAATACCAACCCAGCAGCAGTCAGCTTTAATGTTGGGTGCTTTGGTACAGCAACAACCACTGGCACTATTTTCAATTTTGGTAATAGCCTGGCTAGCACAGGTAGATGACCTTTGTGATTGATTACTCAGCACAGTCTGTCTGTGAACACACATTTTCATCCATTTTCACATCTGTATGATGCAGTGCTTTTTCATCTCACCTGGTGACTTGTCTCATAAAATGACACATTGCTGTTTTCCATTTGCATGAGAAAATAAACAGTTGAACTCAGCTCATTTGATTCTCGTAGAAAGTCAGGGCATTTTCACCTTTTGTGTGTAAGACAGAAGAACAATACAAAATGGAAATTCAGTTGTCCTTTTTATTCATCTTACAGCTTAATCATGATTTTTCTCTTTGAATCTGTGTCAAATACTGATTTCTTTTTTTTTTGGTCGCCCAACTTGTTTTTGTGTCGCTGCTTTTATCTTAATTGTTATGATCTGCTTTGTTTCTCAGGTACATTTGGTGGCTTTGGAACAACTACGACAACTGCTGCTGCACCAGGGTCCACTTTTAGCTTTGCTGCTCCCTCCAACACCACCGGTCAGTAGTTATACCTGCCTTCCTTTTTAACAAACATATGAACTGTCCTGTTTTGTCATGTCCTTTTTCTTTTTGTTGCCATTTCTTTCTATGTTCAAAAAATGCACGCACTCAGCATTTTGTCTTCAAAAAGACGTCATCTTGCAGTTTGCCCACTTGAAACAACAGGTAGACTTTATCGTCTGTGCTGCAAAATGATAAGAAATTTCCAGTCTGAATGAAGAACTTTTTCATCAGAAAGACAGATTACAGGAGAACATCTTGACTTTTCTATGATACATGTGCCTTTTTTTTCCCAAATGCACAAGTACCATTACTGTTTAGTGACTGCCTGTGAGGTTTAGGTCTGGGCTTTGGGTCCTGTTGTGTGTTGCATTCTGATTGTTCACATGTTTGAAGTGTAGGGGTCTAACTATTGGCTACAGTACAAAAGAAACAAAAAACTTGTGTTGAGTCCTATAAATGAAGCCCAATAAAGACAGTGGGTTACTAATTTAGTATAATTATTACGATTTAAGGTAATTATTAAAAATGGAAGGAGACTAAAACTGATTTATTTTGACATTTCTACAATATCTGCAAATACAGTTGCAAGAAAAAGTCATGGCACTGTTTGCAATTTCCTGGTTTTCTGCATAGATTGGTCATGAAACGTGATCTGATCTTCACCAAAGTCACAAATATCAACAGAGACAATATTTCTAAGCTGATGAAACACAGTGATGATCTTTCCTGTCTTTATTGAACACACTCATTAAACATACAAAGTGATGGTGGAAAAGTAACGGCAACACTCGGCTTCTGATGTCACTAAACACCAACTGGAGTCAGGTGTTAGCAAACCTGGAGTCCAATCAATGAAACAAGAATGGAGGAGTGGTTTGGATTGACCTTGATTTATAAAAAACACCCAAACACTGTTGGAGTTCCCTTCACAAGCAGCATTAGCTGATGTGAGCCAGGCCTCCCAACAAAAGGGGATCTCATTAGACCTACGATGAAGAGTTGTTGAAAGGGTTACAGAGTCATCTCAAAGACTTTAGATATTCATCAGTCCACAGTTAGACATACTGTCTATAAATGCAGAAATGCAAGATCAGATCACATTTCATGACTAATTTATGCAGAAAACCCAGAAATTGCAAACAGTGCCGTTACTTTTTCTTGCAGCTTATGGGTCATTCAATTTCAAACAATTTCTTAGAATGTTCCTGGAAAAGAACCATGTCACCAGTTATTACTAAAATATAGACATTGTTCAAATGATGCGCTTCCAGTAAGTTAAGTTTGCTTAAATGCTAAACCAGTGGAGCCCAGAGCACAGCAGTTCAGCTGAACAGGAACAGTTTGCAGTTTATCTAAAGGCAAGGCACACAATTTAACATTTATAAAATGACAAATGATTTACTTAGGTTTAAACTAAACATATTTTAAGGAAATTCCACTAGAACTGAACTGTTTCTGTTAAACCCTGTACAACTCGGTAAACTCTTGATTACTGTTGCAGAACATTCTTTCTATTTTCACTTTCATTAGCACCAAACATGGAAGCCACTTTCCAAGAAACTTTCAAGAAAGTATTGGGAAATAACAGACCTGTAAAATAAAATGCTACCATCTGTCAGTCTTCTAATCCATCTCCCCAAAACTGAGCTGGTGCATTTGTTGCGCACTCAGCTTTGTGTTAATATGCTAATCACAAGATGTCTCTTGCGCTCTACCACAACATAGTCAGCTGGCAGTTTATTAGGCACACCTAGCCGCAACTACACCACACACCATCTGCATCTTATAAAGTGATCATACAGTTGATCATACACCTCTCTAAAACAAAAACAAACAAAAATGAAAACTGTTGTGTTACAGGGCATTAGTTTTAGCTAGGTGTACCTCATAAAGAGTGTGAGTCCTCCCTCTCGTTCCTGCATTGATCCTTCAGGTTATTTTCCAAATGCTTTAACTTCACTGGCTTTCAGTAGAGTTAATGTTCTTGATCTTTTTTCCTACTGTGTTCTGCTATAGGAGGCCTGTTTGGTAGCACACAGAACAAAGGGTTTGGGTTCTCCTCTGGGCTTGGTACGGGGACCACTACTGGGACAACAGGGTTTGGAACTGGTTTAGGAACAACTGGCCTGGGTGGGTTTCAGTGTTTCAATATCCAGCCATCTCAGCAGCAGCAAGGTGAGAGCCTGTATTCCCAAATTCTGTGTGAAGATCATAACCTAACTACAACACAGCAGCATCAGTAGGACATTTAAACGGATACCTGTGTTTTTCATTAGTCATTCATTGTTTTTTGGAGGATCAAAGGTTATTCAGCCTGTCCTGGATGAAGAATCCAGAATTCCTGTTTAAAACACAGGAAACAATTAATTTTACATCCTGTGTGTTTTTCCCCATTTCAAAATCAAAGCTCCAAGAATAATATTTTTAGGTTTTAGCAGTCCATTGTGGTAATTGTGCACATACTGTGGTAAACAGCAGACTCTTAAACACAACCTTCCACGACAATGTTACCAGCCATGCTCTACAACGCTCACTGCTGCAGAGGTCAACAACCAGCAGAAAGTTACAGACGTCAGCTTTCACATCACCAGTTCAACAGTGTGCTGAATTGGTTGGAAAAAACATTATAAAGTTACATAATATGAATCTGTGTTGTTTTTTCCAAACAATTGTATTGAATAGGATGATGTGATCTGCAGTTTTACGTCTCCTTCCCCCTACAGGAGGCTTGTTCGGCCAGCAGGCCCAGCAACAGGGTCAGGCTCAGCCTAACCAGCTTTACCAGCAGGTCACTGCTCTGTCAGCTCCCACCCTGTTAGGAGATGAGCGTGACTCCATCTTAGCCAAATGGAACCAGCTGCAGGCTTTTTGGGGCACTGGGAAGGGCTTCTACAGTAACAACAACCATCCTGTGGACTTCACCCAGGAGAACCCATTCTGCAGGTTCAAGGTAATGACCAAGCTTGAGCAGAGCTGTTTGAATTGCTGGTTCAGTTGAAGGTGAATATGAAGTGTTGTTTGCGTCTCATGTTTCCTAGGCGGTGGGCTATAGCTGTGTCCCGGTGAGTAAGGATGAGGATGGTTTAGTGGTCTTGATTCTCAGTAAAAAGGAAGCTGATGTGCGAGCACAGCAGCAGCAGCTGGTGGAGTCCCTTCATAAAGTCCTGGGGAGCAACCAGATGCTCATTGTCATTGTAGATGGTGTCAAAGCCCTGCCCAGTGACCAGTAAGTTGTTGTAACATGTCATGCACACAACCTCCTAAGGTAGAGGTTGTGAGGATTTGTAGTTATGAATTCTAATAGATAATACATAAATTCATCATACACAAATTTGGGATCTTTTGTATGTCTGCTGTCCTGCAGGACAGAGGTGATCATTTACGTGGTGGAGCGTTCTCCTAACGGCACCTCCAAACGGATTCCCTCCAGCACCCTTCTCAGTTATCTGGAGCAGGCCAATGTTAAGGTCCAGCTCGCACAGATGGGAGTGGCCATGTCTGTCACACGCACAGAGCTAACTCCAGCACACCTCAAACAGATGCTGCAAAATGCTCCTGCAGGTGAATCCCTGCACGCTTGTTTTTGTCATCCTCTCTCTAAATTCAGCAGCCTGTTGGTATGTGCTGTGATTGTTGTAACAAGGATGTTTTCCCCCCTCATTAGGAGTGGACCCCATCATTTGGGAGCAGGCCAAGGTGGACAACCCTGACCCAGAGAAGTATGTTGGTTAAGAACATCTGTTCAAGACTTTCCTTTAGGGGTAGTGTATGTATAACATGAGGAGGGGGAGAGCAGACTGTGTTTTGGATTTACTCCACCTTTTGTAGTAATAGCTCACACTGGGTCACACAGTACCAATGAATACACCATTTTCAGTTGAAAACCGGTGTCCCATTGCGCATCTGCAGTGTACTTCACAGAGAAATAGAAATTGTGGTATTTATCTTTTCGTCATTGTGGACATTCTGAATACTGCTGGCTGCTAACTTTGCACTCACCATTTTCAGAAATGATTTCAAACATTCTTGAAGTCTAATAGAAACTAAACACAGATTTTGGCATTGACAGGTTCCCGACCAACGCAGTAATGTCATAGCACATCACTGTTAACAAAATGTTTATCTAAATATGCTGCTCAACTTTGTAACAAGACATGAATTTAATCATTTTATTTTCCAGGTTAATCCCAGTTCCCATGGTGGGTTTTAAGGAGCTCCTTCACAGGCTACAGATCCAGGAGCAGATGACCAAACAGCACCAGACCAGAGTGGATGTAAGTGCAAACACTGCCATCTATTACTGCTTGTCTCAGTTCTCTAAATTCTTGCCTGCAGTGTCAAGGACAGAGTGCACAGATGTCCAATTCATACCAGCTGCCAACATGTTCTGCATATGAAATTACTGTTAACAAGGAGCTACAGGTGGCAGTGGTGGGATTCAGAGATCTTATAAAAATAATTTGGCTTCTATCTAACAGTAAGCCAATAATATACAGCAAGTTGATTTTTCTAAGGTTATTTTACTTCCAGATTATCTCTAATGACATCAGTGAACTGCAGAAGAACCAGGCGACCACAGTGGCCAAGATCGCCCAGTACAAGAGGAAGCTGATGGATCTCTCTCACAGAGTGCTGCAGGTAGCTGTGTCATCTTTCTGACTTCATTTTGTGAAAATGAGTTAAGTTTCTTGCTCTTCTTTTCCAAGAATAGAAGAGTCGAGTGTAATGAAAACCATCTGCATATGTCTTAAAATTTGAATGAACGCCCAGGTGCTGTCTGCATGTTTTCTCTGTTCTGTGATTTCTGCTTCTGTATTTGTTTCATGCTTATCCTCCCCTGGTTTTCTGGCAGGTGCTGATTAAACAGGAGATTCAGAGGAAAAGTGGTTATGCTATCCAAGTGGATGAGGAGCATCTCAGGGTGCAGCTGGACACCATTCAGTCTGAACTCAATGCACCCACCCAGTTCAAAGTGAGTGGGTCTGAACTGTAGCAGAACACACTGCCTGAAGGGGCCTTTGGTTTTAAGGCATGTGGCATGTGTGCTGTGGTAAATCAGTACACTACTGGCATGAAATGATACCTTATTTAAGTGGTTAAATTATCACAGACTTTCTAAATTCAGCGCCATGTTTTCACTAAAGACCAGCTAGAATGCATTCATTATTAATTCAGCAAACAAATTTGTGTCATTGTGTGGGTATTTCAGTAATTGTTTGGGTTAATACTGCAGTACTGCGATCTTAAGTCAGGTTTCATTAGGGTCGACATGTATTTGTGAATGTACACTACTGTTGAGTTAGTCTGCTTTTACTACCTGAGACTTTATTAGATATTTTATGGTACACTTTTTGTATTTTGTCTTTCAGGGTCGGTTGAATGAATTAATGTCCCAGATCCGGATGCAGAACCACTTTGGAGCAGTGAGAGCAGAAGAGCGCTACTGCGTTGACGCAGACCTTCTCAGAGAAATCAAACAAGTGAGAGTCAGAACATTTACATGGTGCATCTGATTTTCATGTCTTCCCCTTCCCCAGTTTTTGCTGCAGACTTCTGATTGCACACTTGTGACTCTGTAGTTGACGAGTATTGACCTGAAACTCTTCTCATCTCTCACTTTCAGCACTTGAAACAGCAGCAGGAAGGTTTAAGTCATTTAATCAGTGTCATCAAAGATGACTTGGAGGACATCAAACTCATAGAACATGGGCTGAGTGACAGTGGGCACATGAGAGGAGCGTTTGCTAACACCTGACTCCAGTTGGTGTTTAGTGACATCAGAAGCCGAGGATCACCCATTTCCCAGAGACCTGAATTACAGTGTGTTTGTTTTGTTTTATATTTATATCCTGGGTGGTATAGTAAAGTACACTTCAGTGCCTGATGACTTCAGTCACTATATTTTCAGAATAGGAGGTTACTAAACATGCAAAATGATGTAAACCATAAATAAAAATGTTGCCAACAACAGGTTGATTCCTCTGTACCTAATGAAGATCCAATGTGGGCTCAAAAACACTTTAAAGGGAGCATATTATGGTGGTTCAGGCCATTGGGTAGCAGGAATCATAGTGATGAAGTGATTAAACCTGGTATTTTTAACCTTAAACCTGGCTTAAATGTGACTGTCATATATTTGCAGGTATTTTGTCTTTTCTGTCATTTCAGCTCCACTAATGTTTTGGTATAAGAGTTTTAGCTTTCACAACCCACTGGAACGAAGTTTTCAACATTGATATTTTCCATTTTACTTCTTAGCTAGTGCATATGATTTTTAGCACTGGATCTAAACATAAAACCCCATATGGCCATGTGTGGGTTTTTTTTTTTGCATAACTGAACAGATGCTTATTAGTTATACACAGTCTTAAAAATACACAAACTTTAAGAATGTAAGAGGTAGTAATGATCTAGTTTCCACATGGATAAACAATAATGCACTCTGTCAACCCTCCCAGGTCATGTGGACAAGATGCTAAACACCCAATTCCCACAGATCTGTGTCCAAATGATCAACTACTTAAGTTAGTTCTCGGTTTGCTACAGCTCCTGGTTCAGTTATGTGCAGAGAGGTCTACCAGCCGGAATGCCTCCATGAACTCATTGATATCGATGCTCCCGTCCTTGTTGAAGTCAATGCTCTGGGCCAGGTCTGCAATGGCCTCGTCGCTGATTTCGATTTTGAGATGAGAGCTCAGGAGTTTCCAGGTCTGATGAAACTCTTCAAAAGAGATCAAACCTGGACGGTGACATGGAGGAGGAGACCATAGTTTTAAACTGACCACATTTGTAGCATAGAAAAGCTGCACTGTGTTGAGTGCCACATGTTGGGTTGATTTACTTGGAGTGATTTTTGTACATAGTTTCCAGCATACTGGTGTCAGAGATCTGTCGGGAAACATTTTGCATTTTAAGTGTATGGAATAGCCTTATTATCCATAATTTTACAAGTTTGTGTGTGTGCATGTGGGAGAACACAATAAGAACAAAAGACACACCTCCAGCTTGGGCTCAGTGATGGAGAGCTCCCTCATCCACTGCTGGTAGTCCACCATATTATACTGCATGCTGCTGACAAGCTGAGGGCGCAGCACCATCCAGAGAAGACCCAGCTTCAGTACGCTCTCTGTGGCATTGGCCCACTGACTTAGAGAGATCATCCCAGCCAGGAAGATACAGTGGAGTTATCGCTAATAAATTCTGCTTTTGGACCACTGTTTACATCCGGCTACACTGCAACTAGGCTGCCTGCTTTTGTGCATAACAGTGTTAAAGTGTCACTATTCATCACTGCTCATTAGAATATAGAAATTGTTTTTTTCTTTATGAAATACCTGTGTTGTTAGGATCCAACTCATGGAAGGCACTGATGAGATCTGACTTGTGTACAAACAGTTGTTCCCTCAGAGCTCGCAGGGCTGATCTCTCTATTCGCCCTGAATGAAGTGCGGGACCAGATCAGGACCCATTCTGATGTAGGCTCCTCTGTTGCTGCCCACCTCATAGTAGTTAGATGCTGAAAATATAGTCACCACCTGAATGCAACGGAGAGTATGTTTGATAAGACTTCCAGTACAATATGTGACCCACTCATTACTAATTGCTGTCATGTACTCTGCCCAGCGTGTCTGTGCTCACCTGTCTGTTGTGGCAGAACTCATAGCTGTCCTGTTTGCACTCGTGAGAATGAATGAGGAGCCGGAGGTTGTGTCTTCCCAGCACTTCCTCAGTGACATCTGGCCCCCAGTAGCAGCCTCCACCTCGAACCTCATTGGGAATGCAGCCATTTTGGGGCATAGGGTCACTCCACAAAATGTCCACTATCTGGGTAGAGGAATCATCACATTCTGTACTGTTAACTAACCCACCAAATGAAAGGCATGAAACAATAAATTGTGTGTTCTCCTAAAACAACCATAAAAATCCAGCTTCCTGTCACTTACTTGTTTCCACTCATGCTGATCTGTCTCTGTGGTCTCTCCAGACTCCAGGTCTGAGTCAGAGTCAGACTTCTTTAGTTCTCCATAGGCCTGGTCAAACCCAGCCAGTCTGCGCCGCTTCTTCAGCTCTTCTTCCACTGACAAGCTGAGCCGATTGCTTGTGGGCAGCGTGTGCAGGGAGGTCAAGCCTGTGGGCCAGTGCTGGGCTGTGGTGAGTCAAAGAACGCACCTGATGCCAGCCTTCCACTGGTCCACCAGCCGCCTCATCTCTCTTGTTCATAGTCTTCCTGCCACTGATTGCATGATGGGTCAGCTTAGGGGCCATGAGAGCCGACAGAATCTGTAAACATTCAAAAATACACAGACTAAATATAAACACATTTTCATTTCATGATAATATTTCTAGATTTGCTACATATAAAATGGTCAAATTCATTAATTTAATTGATGCTGAAGGCCTCTCTTACTTTGTGTCTGTCCACCCTGGCTATCGTGTCAAGGTCTGTCGTGTCAGAGATCCCCCCATGCACGACCAACACCTTGTGATCTACACTGTGGCCAGAGGCAGCCAGCTGAAGATCTTCTGGAGAAGCTTTAGGATCGTTTTTGCCATGTGCCTGCAGACAAAGTCAAGTTTACTGAGGCTTACATACAGTTAGAGGAATTCCATACCAGCTGCTTGGCTTTAGGGATGGCAATGTGGGTAATGTTGTTCTGTCCACCCTCAACAACAATTAGATGAATTTCCATGAAATTTAATAGGAAAGTGTATGGTTCCCAGATGATAAATCCAAATGACTTTTCCTCTTCTTCCATCATGAGGCTGACTACAATGAAAGTCTGTGGTGTGCAGCACTAACCCATGGCTTTGGTTACACTGGCAAAACGAGTGGTTTATTGTTGGGATTTGTTGTCAACAAAAAAATCTATAGCATATCACCAGGCTTCTCTTTTAACCCTGAGTCATTTGTGCTAGTTAATTAACTAGTACCTTTCCCCAAACTGCTCCTGGTGGTTTTTAATAAAAAGTGTATCATCTTTCTTAGGCCTTGGAAAGTGGCTGCAGTTATGAAAAACAAAAAGCTAGAATCTTAAGGTTTCTTTTAAACATGCAGGCTTGAATGAAGTTAAAACAAGTGTGCATATGGTTTGTATTTTACAGGAGTATTTTCATTTACACTGTCACTCCACAAAATTTATTTGACAGTTATACTTGTAACTTTGTAGATTATGATTATGAACACCTACCCTGTGTTTTCCCAGAACTTCTTTAGTGAAACCATATCTGGAGAAAACATGTAAGGAATAACCTGATTAACATTCACAAATGCTGCAGGGTGAATATAATCAGAACACTGATTGCACAAACACATGTATGACTGACTAACATAAAACCATTAATACCATGGAAACAGACAGAACAAGCCAGAAACAGGAAGTCTACTGTACCTCAGGTTAACAATATGGTCCTCATGGTTCCCTCTGTTCAGATGGACATCACTGGGATAGACCAGCAGGAGCCCGAACAAGATGAGCAGGATCTCTAAGGAGTTTTTATCACGGTCCACAAAGTCTCCATTGAAAACATAGGGTTTCTCAGGGGACGGCAAACCATTCTGGACAGGTTCAAGGTGTTAATGAACTTAAACATCTCTATCTGACAATATGGTGACTTACATGTTGTGTGTACCTTATAGAATATCAGCAGTAGGTCTTCAAGGTGCCTGTGTAAATCTCCTGGGAAGAAATAAATAATGCATTAATATCTGTGGCAATTGTGAGTGAACGTTTCAAGGGCAGTGAAAAGAATGTCAGAGCAAAAAGCGTCAAGAAAAAACCTGTCCAATGTACCGCATATTGTTATCTCCTTGGTACGACATAGGGAGACATGATTGATATTTGGAAGAAGTCTTAGAAGTCTCCAAGTCTCTCCAAGAAGCTGCAGAACATACGTAGCTAGCATGGAGCTACTACTGGGGAAAAAAAGTGTGAAGAAAAGGAAACCATCAGACACTTGTGTCTTTGTTTCAGTGTCCATAGTGAATGTGCCTGTGTGCCTACTTGCTTGTGCTTGAACGCGTCCATCAGCTTTGAGACCCCACAGAAGGTCATGGGGCAGGTCAGATGGGGGCCGGTGTAGCTGTCAGGTACCTCAATACTTTTGTCGCAAAAATATCTCTCCAATTCTGTGTCACGACAGATTTCATTCTCACATAGGAAGTGAGACATTAGATTTCTTGCATGAAAGCCGGAGCGTGAAAGACAGAGAAATGGATCAGTGTGGCAAAGCAGATCACTAATCTAATGAACTCTACAAGTCACAGAGTTAAATCAGGAGTCTTACTTTCACTGCTGCCTGGGGTGAAGTGGTCCATCAAGAAGCAAAAAAAAGTGTAGAGCTACAGGAGAAGAAAAGACAGCTCAAAAAATAAGGCTAATCGTCAGAGAAAGGATTTATGAATGAAACTACAACCACGCTGTGTGAGGCTGTACTTAGTATAGTATGCATGGTGGCAGTGACAATACATGTATTTAGCAGGTATGTTTACTTTGTTCACCATCTTATTTTGAAGTGTTTGCATGCTAAAATGTGCCAGCTAGCACTAAACACGATACCGAGGGGAATGACTTTAGGTGTTTGGTCAAAAACCAAAGTGCTGGAGAAACTGAGTGTCTGTACAGAATTTCATGGCGATCCATCCAATGACTGTTGAGTCTGGACCAAAGTGCTCCACTGACCAACGCTGCCATCCACTATTTTGCTGGCACAACTAAAAAAACTAGTGTCTCTGTGATAAGGACACATTTAAGAGTAATTCATGTTCATCCTGTGCGAACCTTTTCCCAGAACTGTATGACCGCACCTTGATTTGATCTTGTTCTCCTGCATATTCAATAGACTGGAAGATATTCCACGTGCACCTGCGTCTCATCTCCAGCCGGGCAGCGTAGTACTGACGGTTCCAGCGCTGGATCAACAGAGCAGCTCGGATTGCTGAAGGTTTTGAGAGAAAAAGTAAGCACTTTTGCTCCAATCTGCTCTGAGGCAATCC